GGTATCTTCATGGGTGTAAAAGTTATCCTTTGGAACACCTGCTCTGATATATCAAATTTAAACAATAAGTTTATGTATCATTGATACATGCATCTGAAGTATTATTCTTCAAATAAACATTACTATGTTTTACTTTTGAAATGCAATTTTGTCCTTTAATCACAGTTACTTAAACCACATGCACTCATTTGTAACAGAAAGTGGATTTGTATCTGAGGGGAAAAAAGTTCTTTAACTTAAGGCCCCTCACCCCTAACCTGAACCCTAAACCTAAACACTCCAGCTTCCAACATAATTCAATATGCCCCTTCAAATAAAAATATGAGGGGTATATATAATTGAAATGGGGGGAGGATCCCTTGAGGGGCAGGATTAGAATTAGATTCATAAGCTGTTGGCATTTCAATCAGGGCGACAGGTTTTTGTTCAGAGAGACTCGTGGTCACCCAATAAAGTTTTGACTTTGTATCTCAGAAAGCTCTAAAACTTTGTTTGTGGAAAAAGCTAATTTGCTTAACTGCTTTTGCGTTTCCAATTTGAGAATATTCACCTACATTTTTTCGTTTTTGTTCACAATCACTAAAAATCTGAGTAAGTGTATTTCTTAGTACCTAAAACATGATGTAAGATGCAAAACAATGATTTAACCATGGAACTTATAGCTCCATGATTTAACAAACCCTGGTTTTCTGTATAACATGCCTGCGATCACCAGAGGAAGTAGATGCTGGATCATTATAACAATGAGTCACCAATCTAGTTAAAATAAACGGCAATGAATTCCAAGTAGTTATGAGAATTGCTGTCAGCTTGTTCATTGTATTCTATATAACACATGTTTTAACTAAACATCTTTGTTTACAGCTGCTGGTCTCTATTATGTAGCAGAACTTGTAGAAGAATACACAGTCATGGCTGCTAAAATCATTAAAGTCTTTCTCATTGTAAGTTTTTTTGAATTTAAAAGCAAATATCTTTTTTGCAAGATGATTTCAATGGAAAACCAAATTCAAAAATGTATACCACACAAGGACTACATTGGTAGTACATCACATCAAGGAGGTCTCTTTTTCACCATGTACAGTTGGTGTTCCTGAAACCACCGGTTACTTTTAAATGCCAGGGTAAGCATCCCTGCTACTAACTATGCTTATTACTAATTGTTCATGTTGTGTACATACTGGGTCAGTGCTTTACTTATGCTGCATATTTACCTTCAAGCTGTTAATCTTATATTATTAATTCAAGGTATTAAACAATGAGGTTTGTTATCAGATTATTGGCCTGACAACAAATTTGAGTGCCATGTGTGAATTTGGTATTTCTGTGTACAAGACATTGACTGCACAATAGTAGTTGCCACCTTTGAAAATTACAACATGATGTTTAGTTCCATCCATCTATGATCTATCGTACATAAGAGATTGACCCAGATAAATACTATATTTGTTCTATTAGAAGTACACATGAACCCAACAAATGTTCATTAATTGGGTGCATGAAATGCTACAGTTGTCGTACAATGCAAGTCGAATTTCGGTTAATGAAACAATATTTTTACATGCATTGTGTACATCACTGTGGGACGTGTATTGAACCCGATTTGATAGAACCACGTCGGTAACTTACTAGTAGAGTAACTGCATACGCTACAACTAGAGCATTATGTGTGAAAAGCTAGAAGCTAGAAATTATGTTAATGTGGGAAGTTGTACTGATTGGATTTAGATTATTGGATCTGTGCTTTGATCTTATCACTTCTTTTGTAATCACAGAACACCAGATGTAAACTTAAACAGACTGCATAGTGTTAATTTAGTTCTTGCATGCTATAGGGCATACACCATCTCATTTATTATTAACAATCAAATCAGGATTGTCTATAATGTAATGTCATTTGGTCATCTTGTTTCCCATTTGTGTATACCGGTAGTTCAGATAATGCTAGGCTACTCCATTGTTGTGGGTTTATTATCAAGGGGGTGTTTTGGGGGCTTCTGATGATGTAGTACATGTACTAGTATTACTGTGAACAAAAAAGGCAACCCAACCAGGAGTATTGCATTTTATAACTCACTGTTTGCAAACAAAATAACAATGTTGATAGTTTCAACATATCCAATGTTAAGATAAATTGAGAAAATGCTTTCATCTATAACACAAAAAATAAATATTTTTTGTTCTGTTGCCATAACAAATATTTTATATGCATGTTCGGCACCAGTACATATATGCTACCTAGTTCTAAATATTCCACCAATTTGAAGTACAACTGTTGAAGTTATAAATGAAATCATTTTCTCAATTTCTCACAACAGTAGATATGTTGTACTTTATCCATAATCCCTTGCTGAAAAATATAAATGGTGAAATAAACTGATGAAAAGTTGAATAAAGAAAAGTGATATAAAATAACTGTAAATTGGATTTTTTACATTTGCCGAAGTAATTCATCAGTTTGCCCCCAAATTTAAATTTTTCATCACCTAGCATGTTACCACAATACTGCACATATATGCAATGCATTATGGGATATAACTTCTTATTGTATATAATAGAAAACTACTATAAAATGTTTTCTTTTAGTAGCTTGTTATTTTAGCTAATTTAGCTAATTTGTACTTTCGCTAAATTCAAGATGTTGCTAATTTAGAAGAAAGTATATTCTCATGATGAGATCGTTGACACTTTCGCTGAATTGAGATTCAGTTAAATCTTACGTTGAGTCAAATTCGCTAAAATAGCATGTAGCTGTTTTGCACCAGTCTGTCACTGAATAAAATATAAATTTTGTGAAACATTTAAACAATATTAGTATTTGCATCAGTAATCATTTTTTTGACATTTTTATCCCCTTTCATAAGCAAGATTTTGAGATATGAAGAAATAATTTCTTCATAAACACCAGTGTCAATATGCAAATTTTGAGTATTTTCTATGACATTTTGAACTTGTGTGTCTAGAAAAATCGTTAAATGACCCCAATTTTTTTTCCCATTTTCAGCATTCTAATGTCATCAACTCAAATTATTGAAAGCATGGCATATAATCGATTAAATTACTGTGTATTTTTAACCTCAAAAATATGTTTACTATATATGGTTCTAGTATAGAAAAAGATTTACATCTTGTGAAATGATGGAATAGCCTAAATGAATTCTTAATTTGTTTTCATTCTTATTTCATAGTTCACAACTGTGGTATACATAGGCTTGATATTATTTGAAGAGTTTCCGCTGAAAGTGACATTGACGGGTCTGTTCAGCAATATTATCTATTCCTTACTTCTTAGAAACTTTCCTTTCATTGAACTCACAGAACCAGTGTTCCTTATTGGTTGTGGTAAGTTTTATTGCATATACTGTATTTTTATTTTTAGAATCAATCTGCTAGTCTAACATTAAAGCCAGATTGACTGGAAGTGAATTTTGAAGGGTATCTAGGCAATCAGGGAGGTGGACGGTAATTTATATACCAAATGCCCTTTCGTGTTACTATAGATACCCGATTAAAAGAATTTCAGTTTAAAATAATACACAATATTTTGTATACAAATGAAACTCTATGTAAGATGTCACCTCCTATAGTACAAATGTACTTTTTGTTTATCTCATATTGAAACCTTGTTACACTTTTTTTTTATGAATGCATGGATGTGAGAGATTTTTGGGAGTCATTCTTTTTGTTATGGGGAAATAAATTAAATCTACATAGATTTCCTGACCCCAAATAAATTTTGTTGGGTGACGAAGACTACCCTTGCCTGTTAAACTTCCTTATCCTGGTGGCAAAGAAATATATATATCAGTGTCGGTATAGAAAACAAAAATTAAATTTTATTGCTTATAAAAGGTATGTAATACTTCCAAGAGATAGAATATAACATTGCTTCCAGAAGAAATAAGTTGAACTCCCTCATCAAGAAGTAAATTCTTGAAATGTAATAGTATAGTATAGTATAGTATTTATTTGACACTAAATAATATATTTTGTTACATTATCTGTGGTCAAAAGACATTAAATATAATAAAACACAAGTACACACACGAGACAAAAGAAAATACATAAATAACTAAAGTCTAAGTAAAATTACTTATAGTAAAATAAAATGCTGTCAATAAATTTGCTAGCACTATTGGCAATGAACCCATCTCTCGAACTTAAAATTTCTGTAAACATTTGTTGTTTTGATAGTTTAAGGATACTTTAAGGATATGTAGATCGCTTCACAAAGACCACTGTAATGTCATTTTATTAGTAGTAATTACCAGGCATCAGTATATGTTATGTAAACTTTGAAAGTATGCTCCAATCAAATAAGGTGTTTTAAATACAAAAAAAAAATATTTTAATGAGAGATTACATTTATACTTGCTTGCTATATCGATATATCCAGAAGAATTGATATAAGCACAGGTGCCCATGCCCTTAATGGGCAACATTTAGACAACAGCAGCACAAAAATGGCAGACATACGATCAATTATGGTATCTCAAGTTGTTGGATTTTCCTACGGTATTAATTACTTAATCAGGGAATAATAATGGAAGAAGTCTTATCTGCTATTATTAGCCAGCATAGTGGAACTAATGCATTTTAAAAGGTTATTACTTGCGGGCATTAGAATGATCTGACGAATATTATATTGATCTCGCCTCAAGCATCTACCTAATCATATCTACTCATGCAAGTCAATGAAGCTTTATCAATATCTACTACTAGTATATCAAGCGTTTTTTTCTGAATGTCACACGCATGCTCCCTGCAGTGTATTGATGAACAAGAGACCAAAGTAAAAAAAAAAAAAAAATCAAATCTGAGAATATTCAATATTAATCTATTTCAGTATTTACTGCAGTGTTTAATTCTTGTTACATTGTCTCTTATTCCAGTGATGGTGGTGGTGAATCATTATTTAGCTTTCCAGTACTTTGCATCAGTGTGGTATCCATTTGGTGAGGTAAGAGTCACGTGACTGAAATACTTGTGTGTGATTGGTTACAATGCATTGTAGTAGAAGATTTACATAAAAAAATTATAGTTCACAGCAAAATAAACTGATAGAGTGGTACAGAACATTCTCTGAACTAATAGTGACACTAATAATTATTTGTTAATAATAGTATTAATACTCAAAAAAACTTTGACAGAGAAAAAAAACCTGGGTAAAATGGAAACAGAAAATAGCAGATCTAGTCTAGTGTATACCCAGTTTTTTTTGCAGTGATATGTGATGCTTCTGTGACAATGTGCCAATCAAATCAATTACATTAATACATATTTTTACATAAATATGATGTGCATATACAAAGTTTGATAGATTTCACTAACAGTAGTTTGAAGTAGTGTGTTCGTCACACATTGTGAAGCGTCATCTTATTTCAGCATATACAACAGTGACAATATTTCTGAATTTGTAAAATTTAGATACATTTTTTGCAATATGAAACAGTGGTAATGTGGCCTAAAACTGACAAAACATGGTTTTGTCACATATTTTGTGCAATTTTCCAGAACATTTGTACAGTGATTCCTATATTTTTCTTTAACTATTCATCCTTGTAACATGGATGGCACTAGAAAAAAAATAAAATTACATTACTGATATCCTTTATAAGATTCTACAGTTGAAAATTTTCAGAACTCTTAGAGCTGATTACTTGGTCATGTAACATAGAGATGAGTATGAATGGCATCATCAAAAGTAGTTCAGATTGACAGAAAATCTGATAACGTAATTTTTATGTTCAATTGCAAAGCAGTGAATTATTCAACAGGCAACTGTGACAAATATTAAAGAGGATTGAACATAGACTTGTCCTTACTGGTATTTGAAAAAACGAATAAAGATATCCTATCGTTTACTTGCATTGAGTTACAAAGAAAATATCCGGTCAACTTCAAGTTGTTCTGTAACCCGTTTTCCAGGAAAAAAACATGAATTGTCCCAGTATTTATTCGGGGGCTCATAATGCGTTGCATAGGAATTTTTCTGTTTTGAAATTCGTCTATCTTATTTAGTATTTCTTTGACTTTGTATGTTTGTATTGTAACTCTTCTTGGAATGTTCAAATGTAATCTTACATTGTCAAACTTCACATTTAAATCCAAAGAAAAGACTGCAATTGCCTATCCCTGTGTTCTCTGGTGTCTTTGATTAATTAATGATTGCCAATTTTCTTGTTAACTTCTCAACAGGTATTGTCATATTTTACAATTTGCCTGTGGTTGGTGCCGTTCAGTTTTTTTGTTTCACTGTCAGCTAATGAAAATGTATTGCCAACATTATCAGAACCACAGAGGCAAAGTGGAGGTAAGTACTTAGGATATTTATATTTTGAATACCATGTTTGATCTATTGGTAGTGCAAGTGCTTAAATGACAGGTATGTCTATGGTCAAAATAAGTCATATTTTAATGATCAAGCCTATAAAAACTTGTTGGTTTATGTGTACTTTTATTTGAGATGTACTTCTACTGTAAAATTTGTATTAAAAGCCGCAGCTTCTATTAAAATGGTACAATGCAACAGAGGGGATGTAGTTTCTATTAGAGCATCTACACATATGAGAAATGGGAAATTTTTGGGTCTCAATTGTTCAAAAAGAATGGATGCAGCTTCTATTAGGGATGCGGCTTCTAATACAGATTTTACGGGTAATAGAGAAAATACAATTTGGGTAGCCATGATTATGGCACAATGGTTGTGTGTCCGTCCATCATCAGAGAGATTGTGGTCTATTTGATAGCCTAAATTTATATATATATGTGATTACGTGGTCAAATTTCTTTTAGCAACATTTAAAAAAAATATCTTAATGTGCATGAATTCACAAAAATTCAAATAAGGCAGATTCCTTGGTGAATCTTTGTTTTTCCCCCACAATGCGTGCAAATTGAGTAGATAAAGTCACATACCCCAAGTACACATGCTTCTAAAGAGTTGACCATATGAACCCCTTTTTTCACATTTCAGACTCTGATGACGTTGTGAGTAATTACTTCAAGAAAAGCCGCAAAAGATATGGAATTTTGTCTGTCTTCGATTATTTACAGGAAAAAGTGTTTCCAACGAGGAACAAGACATTTTAAGACAATTATTTTATTAACGAGTCAGTTTGATAAGTGCTGCATCAACATAATTGAAAGGAGTGTCTTTATGGAAGTACTGAGCTCCTTGTGTAAAGGCACGTTTTATTATTTTTCAAAGCGATAAGCTTGACGGAAAGATTTTTCCATCCACTAGTACGTTTCACTTATTATTATTAGTAGGTGTATGTTGAGAACAAGTTATTTCTAGATGTTTCAAGATCCTGGAAGCTATACTGTAAATCACTGTACTTTTAGTAAAAATTGCTGTCATTTCAAAGCTTGTGATCCCAGTGAAAAGTTCGCTACCGGAGTAATACAAAATTTAACATGTTCATGCTATCTGACGAAATACTCAAGTGACTTGTTCATTATAAAGGCATTGTGCAAACTTGTATTTATGTTTACATATTAACTTGTCCACAAAAATGAATGTCTTCCAGTCTATGGACCTTCATTATTTAAATTTCCTTGGTTACCAAAATACCATTAATCATTGCGATGTTTTGTAAGGCAGTTTTGTAGTAGGGCTTGTATCGGGTCATTATAAAAACATGTTTATTCATTTGCCATGCGTATATAATTGTGCATTTAAAGACAGTTGTTGCATGAATTCTGTGTAGGTAGATAATTCATTTACATGCATTTTATACGTTGCATGGGACCCATATCAGATATGTTCCATTGACGACTCACTGTGACATACTATATGATACAATATTAGGATTATGTGTGTGGACGACATTGTGTTAAACAAAGCAGTAACCCTGTGTGTTGTCACTTGGATTCTGCTAAGAGGTACTGTTAAAAATATACTAAAATAAGGTTACTTGTAGATGGAAGGATAAATGGGACATTTCACTTTGTATTTCTGAATTATTCAAGTAAAACTTATTGGGTGGAAATTCCTGCCACTTCGTGTGTTGTTTTTTCGAGCTCAGAAAAATAAAAATGTTTATAGTTGATGCTGCAGTATGTTGCAATAATATATTTTGAAGAATACTTAATTTCATGTTTTTGTGAGATACAAGTTAAACTTATTTCACAGTTTGAAAGCAATTGAGACAATCTCAGTGTTTTTATGGGAGGGAAGAGGGATGTGTAATAATAGAAGTTTACGGTGAAGGGAGAGTGCTGAGTGAATAAGGGGGATGTAAGTGAATATACACATGTATAATAAAGGGTCTTAGCCAGATTATCATGCCAAATTATTTCACTAGATTTTACGTCTTTATAGAAACTGGTTTGGATGTCATTGCCAGTGATAGAGTTAACAGTTTCTGAAATTTTGTCAATGGGTTTTCTTTTTTAATTTCGAATTTATGAACATATCATTGACAGAAACGTTGGCCAAATTGCTGTTTTACTGTTTTCAAATTAACATGGAAACAAATGTACTATACATGTATTGCACAACAGTTTTTGCTATTCGAGTTTAAAGATTATAATTTGCAAAGAAGTAGACAAATTATTGTGGAATATTACCTGAAAAATAGATCATCTTTACGTATCCTACTTTGTGTTAATTATTACTAATATGTGTTGTGGCTTAACAATTTTTTTCTACAGTTTATGAATTGTGAGACGACTAATCTTGTAAGTTTAATATATTATGTCATTTATAAAATGACCTGACAAGTTTGTATTTTATGTTCATATTTTATGTTCATGTAGGGTAATAGTTAATTTTCATAAATGAACTGGTCATGCAAGTCATACTGCTATCATTGAGGGTATCAAGTACTTTTAATAGTTGCAATAAAATATACAGTGTATACAATCTTGGGTACTGTCATGTATTGTAAATCTACCTCTTGATAAGCCTCATTGAGCTTGTTTGTAGCACAGGCCTTGATGGTTTTTATGGTTGGAGATCAAGTTAATAACATTAGATTAGCCATCAACAAATTTTCATTTATACAATTACATTATATCAGTAGTTGGTTTTTGTTGTAAGTAATCATCTGTTGAATACTGACAATCACCACACATACATGTAA